TAAAAACACAGTTAAAGTAATGAATAATGAACAAGTATGAAAATCCATGTTAGCGTCAATTTTTATTTGCTTCTTTCAGAAATCTTTTTCTCAAATTCTCTTACAAGTTAATTATTCTCATTACATATGAACTGAGTTGCCAATTCTTTTTCTTTCTTTCTTTCCTTCTTCCCTTCCTTCCTTCCTTTCTTCCTTTTTCTTTTCCCCTCCTCTCTTTATGATCAGTTAAATTTCCCATGACTTCCAAGGGAACTCTTCACCCCTCTAGGATGTTCCTCTAACCTGCCTCTGCTGGGAAGTATGCCTTTTTCTAGACATTTCTAGAAATTGAAAATTAAAGGTATAAACTTATTTCTTCCCTCAATTTTAACAGCGATTGCCTTTTATGTGCCTTCTTTCCCGACAGCACATAGAGAAGTCTCCAACAGTAGCATTTCCCAAATCACTTGCTTGCACCATCTCCTTTAGAAGGAGACCTGACTTCTAAAGGTGTAGAAGGAGGAGAGGGTGGCTTTTTCCAGGATATACTTGGTTTAACCCAACTGAGCTGCTTGGTCTTACCAACATTCCATGTTCATTCTCTCCTCTGCAGTTTTAAAACAGCAGACACTATGCCCAATATGCCTTGACTAAGTCCCATTCCCTCCCCTGTTTGACTTCTGCTGGTCCTTAAGCTATCAGTTTAGATATGGTTTGATATGATTTCTCTGGGAAGCCTTTCCTACTCCCCAGAACTGGATTGGGGGCCCCTTATGTGAGTCCACTCCCATGACACACTGTCTGCATCCCTGATTTGCATTGATCACTCTGAATGGTGATTGCCTCCATCTTTTTATTTCCTATTGGACAGCAAGCCCAGGAGCAAAGACAGTAAGCACCCTGCTCAGTACTTGGCACGCAATTGCCTCTCAATGAATATGTGTGTCGTGGCTACATTTTTTAAAACTTAATAACATTTTGAAAGTTTTTAAAGTGCTTTGAAGTCCAAAAACAGTGTACAGTTGCCAAATTGTTTCTCGTCATCCCATCCTTTGTGGTTTATTGGAAGGGGGGCGTGCATGCATTCAATTCACAAAACTGTGATCAAGTAGACCAAATTTTAATGGAGTTTGGTAAAGCACCAGAGCAAAGTTACATGTTGAACCAGGCTGAGAAGCCGCAGGTTTCATCACACTATTATTAATGGCTTTTTAGTTATTTATTTATTTTATCATTACTGTGTCACCATTCCACCCTTTGCAGATTTCATCAAAGGCAGAATCTCTGCCCTGAGGCTTTGGATTTTCTCATTCCACTGCCTGAAGTCACCCATCTGTGAAGCAAGGGCAATACGCACCTACCTCATAAGGGTGCTGAAAATTAATTAGGCAGTGGCCAGCTGTCTTCAATACTGAAAGCACCGTGTAAGTGCACGTGTTCCACGTCTCTTTAAATTACACCCCATGTGCCAGCGAGGTGGCTGAGACCTCGGAGCATTTGGATTTGCAAAAGGGCTTTGAATGCGGTACAAAGCTTGTTGTCTCAATGTAACGTATCAATCGGAGGCATTAAAATGTCAGCACCTTTTCAGGCATTTTGTTCATTAAAACGGCTGCAAAAGAGTCCTTGGACTGAGTGAATGTAGGCCAAGTCACAGTCTAAGCAAACAGGAGTCTCCGGAGAGCTTCAGGAGTGTGCGAAGCGAGAGTTTTCAATGGCGGGTGAAGCGGGGCTCAGGGGCTCGGGGAGAAAGTTGGATTTGCCCGGCACTCCCGCCCCGCAGCGCTGCAGTAGATCAACTTGACACTTCCCGGCTCTAATTTCCTTCCTCCTAGTTTTGATTTCGCGGCATTCCCAATTATGCAGCTGCCAGGAAAGGAAGCAGTGGAATTGCAATATAGAAAAGACCAGGCCACTTCTTTTTTCGGATTAGACATTTCTGCGCAGAGAGCCAACAGGTCACACCTTCTGCCGGTTCCGAGATGCTTCCAGGACGACCCAGCACAGTAACCGGGCTGCATCTTCTGGTCGGCTCCACTCTTTCCTCAATGGCCACGCGGGTTCTCTGTGGCCTGGGGCATCATCTATAATAGGCCATTTTATTTGGTAAATATTTTCCTGCTTACTGAAGCCTGCTCATTATTAATGACCAGAAAGGGAACTCCTGCCTCCTGGGGCAGAAGTTGATACATTCGCTTTGTGTAATTGCTGTGTATAGTTAGCCATGTGGTCCTTCAGCTAAAATAAATTGCCTTCTTCCCATAAGAGGCTCCCACAGTGTCACGGGAGAACGAGAGGGAAAGTGGCTGCTGAAACTAATCTCTTAGCTAACACGATGGACGGATCCAGAAACTGAAGGCAGATGGCAAGTTCGAGATGAATAGCATTTTTTAATGGCTTCAGAATATCTCTGTCTGTAAACGGCTTTGCTGAATGACAACATGTAGGGCAATTTAATTTATCTATTGCTGCGTTGTCAGACCGTCTGAGAACTGTTCTCCCGTTTGTCTATTAGGACAAAAACTGATCTCCTTTCAAAGGGGGAAATATAGGATGCTACAATTTAAAAGGCCAGTAGAGAGGAAGGGTTAGAAGAAAACACTGCAATTATTTACAAATAGATGACAAGGATCCTTCCACACCAACAGTCTCTTGCTTTTTGGCATTTGAAGATAGCAACTCCATGTTGAGATTTAATGGCAGAAGTTGAACTCCGAACTCTGAAATGAACTAGGCCCAAGGTCTAGGAGAAAAGGTCACGATAAAGACAGCACACCCTGTCTGTCTCCAATGACTAAGAATTCACATTCTACTGATGAGATTAACCCTTCATCATCCAAGCATGTGATTTGAGAAATGCTACTAATGAGAACGCAGCTTGTCTGTATGCTGTCCGGAAAGAAGGTGTATGAAAGGTAATCAGTGGTAAAATTGAGGGAAGAAATAAGTTCATACCTCTAAGTTTCAATTTCTAGAAATGTCTAGAAAAAGGCGTACTTCCCATAAGAAGCAGGTTTTGGTTTTGTTTTTGTTTTCCTTTGCGGTACACGGGCCTCTCACTGCTGTGGCCTCTCCCATTGCGGAGCACAGGCTCCGGACGCGCAGGCCCAGCGGCCTATGGCTCACGGGCCCAGCCGCTCCGTGGCATGTGGGATCTTCCCGGACCAGGGCACGAACCCGTGTCGCCTGCATTGGCAGGCGGACTCTCAACCACTGCGCCACCAGGGAAGCCCCAAGAAGCAGTTTTAAAGGAGCATCTTAGAGCGGTGAATAGAAAATAACTAGCATTTGTTACAAGTTAGCAGATATACTCACCCTGAAATTAAAGGATGAGAGTTAAACAGAGGGGAAGTTATATGGGAACAATAATTTTATGGTAAGAACAAAGTCACAGACACAGAGGAAGTTAGACCATGGTCAGCTTTTCCCTGTCTTTTCTGATGTTGGAAGTGAAATGATGCAGAAAGCTGTTCTTCCTTCTTCTGTGTTGCATCAGGCCTTCAAAACATACAGGTGCTAGGGCTTCCCTGGTGGTGCAGTGGTTGAGAGTCCGCCTGCCGATGCAGGGGACACGGGTTCGTGCCCCGGTCCGGGAAGATGCCCCATGCTGCGGAGCGGCTGGGCCCGTGAGCCATGGCCACTGAGCCTGCGCGTCCGGAGCCTGTGCTCCGCAACGGGAGAGGCCACAGCAGTGAGAGGCCCGTGTACCGCAAAAACAAACAAACAACAACAACAACAAAAAACATACAGGTGCTAGTAATTAGTGACCACTTGCAATTTATGTTGTTGTTTTAATAAAGCATCATATTTGGATTGGGATCATTTACCCTCTCTCTCAAATCTGAAAATAAGCCTGGCTTGTTTATTCACATTATTCAATTCAGCTTTACAGATATTTCTTGATTTCCTGCAATGTTCAAGGCATTTGTAGACACTGACCACGCTTTACAAGCCCCAAATTGGGTCATGAGTCCTTATTCGTACAGTGAGATAAAATATTTGAAATTGAGACTCTCTCCAAAGTTCCAAATTATAAACTTGGTGCCAGGAGCTGAAAGGAAAAATTAAAAAGCTCTTCAAGGCTTTGCATACACAGGAATTAAATAATTACAAAAATAACTATAGCAGAAGGTGCTCTCAGACAGGTGCCCCCAAGAAGGCACAAACTAAGCCATGTGGTTGCCCTATATGCAGAGTCCCAGGCCCATCACATACAAATCACGTGACCCTCGGTAGGTGGCTGGGTCTCAGGGAGGCCTGGTCTCCACTGTAGAGTGGGGATAATAATATCTAGTTAACAGATGTGCTGTGAGGATATAAGGCCTTGGAACATATGAGCTGTTCAAACAAAGCGTTGAAAATGCATTGTGGATTTAAAAGAAGGAGCGACATTAGAGTGGAGAGAGGTGGACCGAGACAGGATCCGTATTTTAAGGTGGTATTTGAGGTGTCTGAGGGGTGAGCTTTCCGCAGGGGGACGATGTGCTGGGAGGAGGAGCTGCGTGTGCAGAGAGGAGTCACTGCTTCTATGTCCCGGCGTCATTTAGGGCATCCTGGGGACTAACACCTACTCGGCTGAGAGCAGCTGGAAGGATGAAGAAAAGAGAGCCAAGGACACAACCATGGGCAATGCTGGTGGGTAAGAGGAGGAAGTACAGGTGGCAAGAACAGAATGTGGTCTGAGAGTTAGAGGAAAACCGGAAGAGAACAGCATCACAGATGCTGAGAGACGAAAGAATGTCAGTGGGAGCTGTGGTGTCCAATGTCTCAGTGAGCCAGACAAGGAAAACCAAGGAGACAAGTAAATCGGGTGAGTAAGTGGTCAGTGGCAGTCTTCAATGGTGATTCTGTAAGGAAACTACACCTGTGTTGCTATGCCCGCGTCTCTTAAAGAGGTTGGGTTTGTTGCCTTGTATTGAGAAGGGCTTGGCCTTTTCTGGCTATGGGTTAGGGCCCTCCCCATGCCTCATGAATAGGATGGATGTTGCAGTGTCAGGAATGCCGGTTGTCCAGGGAGGACATTGAAGATAAGAAGGCAGGCAGGAGAGAGAACTCCTAGACCTCTGTGGGTCTCACTTCCTTGAGTCTGGACTCTAACAGGAGTTTAAGAAGGGCCTGAAGAAACTTCTAGAGAGAGGAAAATACCCTCTGCACACAGAACTAGCAGAGAGGCATCCTCAAGCTAAAATCTATGAGGAAGTCCTACAGAGTGGGGCAGATCACTTGGTTTCAGGTGATTCCTTCAGTTTGTTTACCCCAGATCTTCATCCTGTCTTGTTTAGAGGTTTCTGACTGGTCGTAGCTGTGCTGGGGGGAGAAGTATGGTCTGACCTGATCCGGACTGAGGTGCTGAAGAGGACAGAGCACCCCTGAGGCCGAGTGGGAGTGGCACCCTCGAAGGAGAGCAACCGCAGCGGGGAGTCGGCGTCCAGGGGAGGCCAGAGGGTGAGATGAGGAAACAGGGGAGGTGGGTTTAGAGGTGAAGAGAAGGCGGGGGCTGTGGCGGATTCCCGGCTCCCTCCCGTCATTGGCATATTGCAGACGTTGATCTGGCGTGAGGGGAGCGGTGCGGGGATGGGGGACTCATCGCTAGCAAGGCCCCGCCCACGTCCTCTGGGAGCCTGAGAAAATAACCGGGTTTAGGGCCTTCGCTCCAGCAGCGTGGAGGTGTCTGCAGGTAGGGGAGGGTCTGTGCGAGGCAGAGAGGGGTGCTGGAAGGGGCAGGGGGCGCGGAGGGCAGGCGGGGTCCAGGGCTCAGGTGGTCAGGCAGCCTTGAAGATTCGTCTGCTGCAGCACAAAGAAAGACACTCCCAGGGAGAAAACGGGTGGTTTTTTGAGGGAGAGAAAAAGGAAGACGCTTCAGGCGGCCTTGGCCCTAGAAATTGAGATCTGCACAGGGAGACAGGGCAGGGTGGAGGCCTGCGGGGGCATTTTGGAAAAGGTAGGAAGGAAAGAGATGCCACGTAGTCCTGAAGGCTGGCTCACCAGTCACCGTGTGGTGACAGCTGCCAGACGGCAGGTGTTAGGTCTTAAAGGGGGGATATCATTGGCCTCTGACGTGCCCGCTGGCTGAGCTACCCAAGCCCCAGGGCGACTGTCTTCAGGTTGTGGCCTAGAAAACCGCAGATTAGATACAGTCACACCTGTGACATAGTCACACCTAGCGAAGCACATGCAGGTTGCTGCCTGGACTGCCCCTTACCTGTTTCTCTCTCTAACAAACTTCTATTCAACCTCGACGCTTCAGCTCCTTGGTCAGCGACACCTTCCTGAACTTCCCAGGCAGAACTAGTTTTCTTTCTTCGCTCTCTCCCGCCCACTTGTATCTGTAACTCCTGTCATTGTTGTAACGTTGGCAGGACTGTGTGGTCCACCCCCAGACTGTGAGCTCCCTGAGGGCAGGGGCTATGACTTTTCACCTTCGTGCGCAGGGTTTGGCGTGGCCCAGACTCCACAGCCCAGGCTTCCATCCGACACACAGCACCACAAACAGCCAGGAGCTCCAGCCTCCCATGAGCACTGCTCCACGGGCGCTCACTTTTCTCGTTCGGGTTCACCTTCATTCCCACATAAACCACCCAAACAACAGTTCTTCTCAGCCTCCTTCCGGTGCAGCCAGCTGTCCTGCACATGCTGAGTGGGCATCAGTCACAACTTTTAATAGGGCTTTATTTGGAGCTGATAAGGGAGCAAGTGATCTACGGAAATAATCGATGAAGGAAGATAGATTTCCCTTTGATTTGGGAATCCTTTGTTTCATCACACCCTAAATTTAATCTGAGAGAGAGAGAGATAGAGAGAGAGGGAGAATATGAGTGAGATCACGTGCGTGAGCTATAAGCACTTGCTCATCAAAGTATGATTCAGACCAGCAGCATCCATGTCTCCTGGGAGCTCATTGGACATGCAGAATCTCCGGCTTACCCAGACCTGCTGAGGCAAAATCTGCCTTTTAACCAGATCCCCTGCCGATTCACAAGCACCTTCAGAAGGACATCTTGCCATTTTCAACAACATGAACGGACCTTGAGGACATTATGCTAAGTGAGAGGAGTCAGACAGAGAAAGACAAATACTGTATGATCTCACTCATATGTGGAATCTAAAAAAGCCAAACTTGTAAAAACCAGAGAGTAAATGGTGGTACCAGGGGATGGAGGTGGGAGGATAGGACAGATGTTGTTTAAGGGAACAAACTTGCAACCGGTAGTAAATAAGCCCTAGAGATCTAATCCGCAGCGTGGTGAGTACAGGCAATAGTGTCGTATAATCGGCAAGCTTGCTGAGACTGGAACGATTATTCCAACCACTAAAAAGAAATGACAATTATGTAACATGAGACAGGTGCTAATTATCACTACAGTGGCACTCATATTACAATATATAAAAGTATCAAATTAACACGTTGTATACATTAAATTTACATAATGGTATATGCCAAATGTATTTTAATGAAAAAAAAAAAAAACTAAGAAGCACCATCAGTGGTGAAGAACTGATATGAGTAACTTACTATTGTAGGAAATGCAGCCAGACAATTATTCTGTCTGTTTCTTTTTTTAAAGTGATGGACCCACTAAATTTACTTTGTGTCTCAGTAAAGGTCATGAGGAGTGGTTTGAAAAACAGTACATTAGGGCTTCCCTGGTGGTGCAGTGGTTGAGAGTCCGCCTGCCGATGCAGAGGACACGGGTTCGTGCCCCGGTCTGGGAAGATCCCACATGCTGCAGAGCGGCTGGGCCCCTGAGCCATGGCCGCTGAGCCTGCGCGTCTGGAGCCTGTGCTCCGTAACGGGAGAGGCCACAGCAGTGAGAGGCCCGTGTACCGCAAAAAACCACTACGTTAGTTCATCTGCTTTTCAGAGCTTGACCCATAGATTGTAAAGTTCCCATTGATGCTTTTAGGGCTTCTCAGACCTTCCAACCACCCCCAATGGCAGTGGACAACCACCACTGTGCACCCCCGGTTGTCTGGGGCGTGAGAAGAAACCACTGAAAGCTTGAAACTTTGTTTGAATTGTTTTGTTTTGTTTTGAAACTTTACAGAAATTTTACATACAGATTTGATTTGTAATATCTGTTTGCTTTGGCATAAAAACATGTTTTTTATTGTGGAAATTTTCAAACACACAAAATAGAATAGTATGGTGAATCCCCTCTTATCATCACCCTGCTCTAAAAATTATTAACGTTCTGTCCTTCTCTCACCTGTCTGTGTCCTCCAACACACGCAGATAGAGACAGACAGACACACACACACACACACACACACACACAAAGTTTTTGCTGGAGTTTTTTCAAAACAACTTCCAGACAGCATGTTATTTCACCTCAAAATTCTCTAATGGGTGAGGACTTTTTAAAAATTAAACTTCAATATCATTACCACACCTAACAAAATTACCAATAACTCTTCAGTATCATCTCGTTGTCAGTCAGTCTTCAATTTTCCCTAGTTGTCTCAAAAAATGTCTTTTTATGACGGAATAGTCTGAATCGGATCATAAAAATATCCACATATTGCATGTGGCTGACGGCTCCCTTAAGGGAGTGCCCCCACTTTCTGTCTATTTTTAATGCTGTTTATTTGTGGTAGAAACTGAATAATCTTTCCTAGAGGTCTTCCTTAATTAGGTACTTGGCTAATTGTAACCCCTGGTGTCATTTAACATGTTCCTCTGTCCTCCACATTTTTAAAACCTGCTTGGTAGGGGACTGATTCACATCAGGTTTAACTTTTGGCAGGCAGTGCCAAATGCTAAAGCGTGCAGTCCTGTACTTTCATCCTATCAGGGGTGCTTGCCCCACGCTGGGGGCTACTAAGATTGGCCAGTGGGTTGAGGGGGTGTCAGTCTGATCCATCAATTATAAAATTCCCATCAACATTTTACCTGATAGTTTGAGGGCCACTGAGGATTGTTGCCTGGAGCCATAATTTCACCAGTGTAACAAATGGTGATTTGCTAATTCTGTCATTTCTTCCACCTTTATTAGCTATAATATAAAAAATAACTTTCCCTCATCAGCTACTTGCCTACCCTGAAATACCCTAAGAGTAAAATAAGATAAATGCTTTATTCTTTCCCTTTATTAACCAATTTTCAAAATGAGTAGTTACCCTCACAAGATTGTTTACAGCCCCATTTCACAGAAAAGGAAACTGAGCCAGCGAGAGGTTACATGACATTCCCAAGATCACACAGCTAGTAGAGGACAGAGCAGCAATTCAGATTTTAGTCAGACAGACTGCAGAGTCCCTTTAACTCTCTTGACTTTCCACTTCATATTTATAAACATGTTAAAATGTTAGTACAATTGATTCATAAGTAGGAATTACTTTCTTGCTTAAGAAAACTTATCCTTATTAACTTAGAAATACCCCTCCACAATGAGATATCACCTTACACTTGTCAGGATGGCTATTATCAAAAACAAAGACAAAAAGCAAAAAACAAACAAACAAAAACAAAAGACAACAAGTATTGGCAAAGACTTGAAGAAACTGAAACCCTTGAACACTGTTGGCAGAAATTTTAAATGGTGTATCCTGTATGGAAAATAATATGGAGGTTCCTCAAAAAATTAAAAATGAAACTACCATATGATCCAGCAACCCCACTTCTGGGTGTTTATCCAAAGAATTGAAATCAGAATCTCAAAGAGATATTATCCTTTCCATGTTCATTGTAGCACTATTCATGGTAGCTAAGATGTGGAAACAATGTAACTGTCCATCGGTGGATAGATAAAGAAAATGTGGTATATACACACCATGGGATTTTACTCAGCTTTAAAAAAGAAGGAACTCCTAGAATATGTGACAACATGGATGAACTTTGATAACACTATTAAGTGAAATAAGTCAGTCACAGAGGACAAATACTGCATGATTCCACTCAGATGAAGTATTTAAAATAGTCAAACTCATTGAGGCAAGGAATAGAATCATGGTTACCAGGGGCTGTGGGGGAGGGGAGATGGGGGCAGCAGGTATAAAATGTCAGTCACGAAAGAGAAATAATTTCTAGAGATCTGCTGCACAGCACTGCGCCTGTAGATAACAATAGTGAACACTTCAAAACCTGATAAGAGGGTATATCTGATGTTGAATGTTCTTACTGCAATAACACTTAAAAGAGAAAAAGAGAAATAAATTTCCCTGTCATTTGGAGAGGAAGAAACCTGAATGGAAGACGAAATATAAAGAACGATTTTCTTCTCCATCGAACTCTGGAAAAGTATCAAGTGCATTGTTACTACTATTAATGAAATATCTGTGCCAATGACCCTGAAGAACGCCTCACTACCATGAACTGTAAGCTCGCGGCTTTTTCAGATGACTTCTAGTTAACTAGCATCATTCACATCAGCAAAAGGCTTCCTCCAAACTTCCACATAACAAAGAATTGTCTAGAGAAGAAGCTAGTCAGAAGGATGGGGATGGGGGTTATCACCTGAAATAAGATATTCGATGGTTAAATAGACATTAGAAAATGAGATGCTAAAAATGCTCGCGTGGCTGAATATTCACAAAGTAAAGAGGTTGACGAGGAAACAGTTTGGAAAACTGCAGGTTATAAAGCCCAAGGAATGAAAGAAACTATATTCATTTAAAATACAAAAATATTGCTAGATGCAAAAAAACTTCTGCAACTCCATTCCTTTCTGCCTTTCGTGGTTTATTTCTTGGTACTCCCTTGTGGACACCACCCTTTGCCTGCGGAAAGACTCTGCTTTCACTACAGCATAAGCTCCGTGGGGCAGAGATATGGGTCTATGTTGTTCACCACTGTCGCCCCGGTACTAAAACAGTGTCTGGCACACAGTAGGCACTCAGGATATTTTTCTTGAACAAATCTATAACCTTTCCTATGAAAGCCCTATAGTTTCAAGGTCAAACTCAACTCAAGCCCATTTCTTTCAAGAAACTGTAATTCCTCCATCTGATAACATTATTAATTGCTCTATTACATCAATACTTTGTGCCTTTAGTTTTTCTTTAATTCATAGATTTCTTTGCCACTGAATAATTAGTCCCTGCTAGTTTTTCCAAAGATATAATCCAAAGATGTGTTGCATCAATTCTACTCATGGTGCTTAATTTTAAAAGTTGTATGCTAGGCTTTGCCCCAGACCTACAAAATCAGAATTTCTGGAGGTGGAACCCAGGAATCAGCACACCTTACCATTTCCCCAGATGAGTCAGGTACACACTGAGGTCTGAAAAGCCACCAAGGAGGCCTCTTTCATCTTTTTGCTTCCATTGTGCTGACACAGGACTTGAGCTTCGCAATCAATGTTTATTCCATTGAATTGAATTGAACTAAGTGATGGCCATAGTGATGCTGCAACTAATTTTCTTGTTAATTTTGAAATGCAGCTGCCTTCCCAGAGGAAGCAATACATGGAGTTAAAATTACCTGAGTTTCTCTATAGGACAACAGAAGACAAATTTAAAAACAAACAAAATTCTGATTTTTGTGTAAATTTCAGGAATGTAAGCACACACAGAGAAAACTAACTACACAATACACAACACATGTGTACATCTTTTTTTTTTTTTTTTTTTTTGGTACGCAGGCCTCTCACTGTTGTGGTCTGTCCCGTTGTGGAGCACAGGCTCTGGACGCACAGGCTCCGAACGCGCAGGCTCAGCGGCCATGGCTCACGGACCCAGCCGCTCCGCGGCATGTGGGATCCTCCCGGACCGGGGCACGAACCCGTGTCCCCTGCATCGGTAGGCGGACTCTCAACCACTGTGCCACCAGGGAAGCCCCTGTGTACATCTTAATGAACATTTGCAAACGGAGCACAAGCATGCAACTAGTACCCAGATCAGAAATAGAACAGGACTCGTATCACAGAAGCCCCTTCCTTCCTGCCTCTTCCTGTCACTACAGTCCTTTGAGGGCAGCCACCAGCCTGACTGCTAACACCGTAGATTTGTTTTAGTGTTTGTTTGCTTACATATTTTAAATCAATCAATCTATCTATCTACCTGTCATCTATCTATCCATCTATCTCCATGTTGTCACATTCATTTGTTCTCACTGCTGTATAATGTTCCACCACATGAATATAGTACAGTTTGCTTATCCACTCTACATAGATGGACATTTGAGTTGTTTTCAGTTTGAGGCTATTATAAATAGTGCTGCTATGAATATCTTTGTATATGTCTCTTCATGAACACATGTAGCTTTTTCTGTCGGGTATATACCTAAGAGAAATTGCTGGGTCATTGGGTATCTACATGTCTGTCCAGCTTGAATAAATACTGGCCAAATTTTTCATGCCTGTCTGTATTCATGCCATCATATTGCCCTCCCACAGTGATGCTGGGCTTGGCCACGTGACTTGCTTTGGCCAATGGGACAGCAGAAAACTCAATGTAAATACAACTCACAAAAGTACTTAACCGTTTTTGGCTTTCTCTCTTGCTTCTTTGTGGTCACATGTCCAGGCTAGCCTGTTGGAGGATGTGAGAGACATGGGGAGGAGAGCAGAGTCATCCTGGATGAGGCCATCCTACTAGCCAGCCCCCAGCCATCCTGCCAGCTGACCACAAGTGTGTGAACAAGCCCAGGTGAGAGGAACTGAGCTTAACCCACATCAGCAGAGCTGCTCACTTGACCCATAGACTTGTATGAAATAAGAAATTGTTTTTCTAAATCACTAAGCTTCCATGTAGTTTGTTACACAGCAATAGCTAACTGCCACACTGCTAAACAGATGTCTAAAGAGTTGTGCCACTGACACTTCACCTAATGTCTGAAGATCTGAAGTTCCACATCCTCATCAATATTTGGCATAGATTAAAATATATGAAATTGTTGATATTTGACTATTTCTGACCTGCAAAAATTGCAATTTCATATAGTTCAGCCTCATATATTTTTTCATTTTAATTCTTCTTGGGAATGTATAATCATATAAAATTGTGGATTTAATTTCCATTTTCCTAATAACTAATGAAGCTATGCACCCTTTCATATGTTATTTAGCTAGTGGTATATCCTCTTTTGTGAGGAGTATGTGTTCAATGTTTTAATCCATTTACCTATTGGATTAGCTGCCTTTTGGCCATTATCTTAGGAATACATACATACACACACAGACACCCCACACACACACACACAGGCAATGAGCCCTTTGTCAGGTATATGTATTGGAGGTATCTTCTCTTACTCTGTGATTTTCCTTTTTACTTTCTTAATGGTACCCCTTGGTGAACAGGATTCCTTAATTTTAATATAATGCAATTTGCCCATTTTTAAAATATAAATTTATTTATTTTTGTTTATGATTTTTGGCTGTGTTGGGTCTTCGTCGCTGCGTGCAAACTTTCTCTAGTTGCGGCAAGCAGGTGCTACTCTTTGTTTGCTGTACGCAATCTTATTGCGGTGTCTTCTCTTGCTGCAGAGCACGGGCTCTAGAGCACACAGGCTTCAGTAGGTGCAATGCATGGGCTCAGTAGTTGTGGCTCACGAGCTCTAGAGCGCAGGCTCAGTAGTTGTGGCGCACAGGCTTAGTTGCTCCGTGGCATGTGGCATCTTCCCTGACCAGGGCTCGAACCCGTGTCCCCTGCATTGGCAGGCAGATTCTTAACCACTGTGCAACCAGGGAAGCCCCAATTTGCCCATTTTTAACCTTCATTCTTGTAAGCCCTTCTTTGCCAACCCCAAGGTTATGAAGATATTCTCCCATGTTTTCTTCTAAAAGCTTTGTTGTTTTGCCTTTCATATTTAGAATTCTGATCCACCTGGAATCGATTTTTCTAAGTATGGTATGGGGGGAGGGGTCAAGATTCACCTTTTTCCCAGATGGGGATCTGTTGACCAATAAACATCCATGGACATTTATTATAAAGGTGCTGAGTTGTAGAGTTTGGCTTTCACATCTTTCATAGGGAGGCAGCACAGGTCATAGGAAGAGCTCCCACTGGAGCTAGTCCCAACCCTGCCACAAGCTCCCTGGCTCTGTGACCTTGTGCAGGTCACAAGAGCTGTGTCTGTTGGCTCGTATGTAAAATAAGGGGTTAGATTAGATAATCTCCGTCATTCCTTTCAGAAGGCAGAGGTGACATAATACTCCAACTATGTCTGGCATTGTTAGTTCTGGAAACTCAGGGAACATGTTTAACATGTCTGAGTCCCAATTTCCTTACCTATAAGATGGGAACAATCATACCTCATGCAGGGCTGTTGTGAGACTAAGGAAGAACATACATGAAGTTCTGTACTTGGCATGTTATATTGTTCAACAAAAGGTACCACCCACTGTTGTTAATAGCCATGCTGGTCACAGCATACACAATTGCCTTTATTTAAATTCAGTAAGAATAGAGTTGGTACCTCTACACTAGCAATAGAAGTTTGCATACAAGTTTGCTTGGTAGGAAAGTTAACTTGCCCTGTGATGAGAATCTTAATTTTGCCTCATTCTCTTCATTCCTAAGAGACGTTATTTAGTAAAGAAAGCAAGGGGGAAGAAAAGTTACACAGATATAAAAATCAGCTTTCTTAAAGTTGCTTCCCATTATCCTTGAACTCAAAAAAGTTTATCTTAAACGTTCGTAGAGTCCAGGACAGGACAGAATGCCACAGCGATACTTGTCCACCATGAATTATGAAGTCTTTAGTCATTAAATTTCTGCAAAGGGACTGATTCCGACTCTCCGCCTACCCCATCGCTCCCTCACTCTCAACTCACTCTGTTTTGCTTCACAGTAATTACCGCTACCTGACATATTGCCCTGCCTTTTTGTTAATCACCTGTCACCCTCAGCTCCACGGGAGCAAGAGCGTTGCTTAATTTATCCTGTAGTTTCAGCACCTAGCAGAGCGCCTGGCACACGGCAGACATTCGGTAAATATTGTTGAATGAATTAATGAAGGCAAAATAAGAACCACATAAAACATGGATCAAAAGTAGTAACAATTTTCAATTAGGTCCATGCTGTATTTAATCTGATATAGAAATCAATAATGTATTCTGACTGCAATTCCTCTATCAACCCCAAACTCTAACTAATTATTGTAGATGTTCAGTAATAACATTATCACAAAAATATTAGCCCTGTTAATAATCAACACATTTTTCTCAAGTGCACCTTCACCTTTGGGGTCTCTGAGGAGGAAATTGATATTTCACACACACATATGCTGTAATTGGTTCGGTTTATTTTTTTTAAGAGGAACCATCTAATAAATATGGTTACTGAAAATTATTCAAAAATTTATTTTTCTTTTCTCTAAATAAAAGCAGACGTGGGAATCATGTTTTTACTATAAACAGATATGAAGTTTTACATGTTGAGTGGTAGAAGTTTGGTCAGTTTTTCCTTTACCAAAATAAATTGTTAATTAAGATAGACAAAAACCAGGAAACATCGAAGTTAGTCATTTAATTTCCTTACTTATTCAGAACTGCCTAGAGTCATTTCCTGCAGGAATTTCACGTCTTCGCATGGAAGTGTTTCAGCAGCTGGTAACGAAGTCATCAACTCAGGCAGTGGGTGATACTCCAGGGTCCGGTTACAAATCAGATGTTTGGGTTTTTTGTTGTTATTTTTGATTTGTGAAGGAGCCAGATCACCTTTAGAAAGAAATCTAAATACCTTCTAGAATGCTGTTTCCACATTGGTCTGAAGAAGCAATTGGGTCTAGTGGGAGAAACTGCAAACAAGGAAATCTGACTTCTAGATTTGTCTCAGCCACTAATTAGTTGTATGACCTTAGCTTTCACCTCCTGTACCCTAATAGCCTCATCTACGTGAGGGCTGTAACACTCGAATTTACGCTACCAAGTTGTTTTTAAGATGGAAGGCATACTAGCCAAACTCTGAATGTAGCTATTTTTGTTGATGTGTGTGACTCCAGTATATGCCATAAAGCTTGTAATATTCTTAAGGATAAAGACCTTGTCTTATACTTCATTGGATCCAGCCATGGCCAGTGCAATGTGCTGGGAGGATAGCAGATGACTTATAAATCAGAGAAATCAACGTCTTTTGCAGTATTATAAGGAAATGATCACTATTCCTTACAGGTCTGAAATGTACAAGCTTTTTTCTCATTCCTAAGTTGGCTATTTGGGAAACAGAAACCAGTCAGCTACCCATGCTATTTTTTTTTTTTTTAAGCATAACAAGAGATTTGAGCACATCTACAGTACAATGTCACTGTAGTTGGGGTGAGTGGGGGGGCTGGGGGGTGGGACTAAATGTATACAGTACTCTTTTCGTGTCCAAATGTTTTCCCAACAGAACCAGTCAACTGAACAAGGAGGGATACCAGTAATAAGTCATATTTTAAGAGATTCTTTTGTTTAGTTTGGCAAATCAGAAGAAATAAAGCAGTCTCCATATTTCCCAAATTGAGTGAGAACATATTGAATTTTGGCAAACTTGAATCAATAAGCTGAAAGGAAAGTTCAAACTCTAATTTCAGGAGAACTTGGCTTTTGCAGGTTAAACCATGCAGTCGTGGGTGTTCTCCAACTCGTGGGAGAGCTCGGTGCTCAGCTTGCACTTGCACTGAAGCTGAGTGCTGGGAGAGTCAATTAACTTCTGAATGAAGACATTGTTTGGACAGTATAGTATGAGAGAAGATGAAACACGTATTATCCAACTCTTTTGAATATATTACGTTTATTGAGAATAAGTTACACATTTCTATCAGTAAAGCACCTCATTCATTGTGGATACGAAGCTGAATTCTTTCATATTTTACCTAGCTATCACTGCTCCTATCCTTAGTGGTTCAAAAAACTCTACAGGCATGATCTCTGAGCATATGATGACTTGTGGGCATATGGGAACATCAAACATTGGAGTGTGTTGATTCTGCACAACACTTATTTTAAGTGTGTGTTCATTTTAATGATACACTAAACAAATTATTATGAGTATTGTGTTCAGGTTCTGCCGTCAGACTTTATAGGTTTTAATTCTTTATGAGTAGCATGGATTTGAGAATGCTACTGGATTTCTTTGAGCCTCTGTTTCCCCATCAATAAGATAGTGATAACAATTGCTTCTTTCTCAGGGGGTTAATGTAAGAAATAAATGAGTTAATCTAGATATACTTTATCACAAAGAAGATAGCCTGTAAATATTAGCTAGTAATAGTAATATTACAATCATCGTCATCTGGACGGTCACCTTATCACAAAGTACTGCCACAAGATTCCACAGTATCTGTGTTTAAGCCCATGTTGATGCCAAGAAGTACATTCATTGTCATAGGTAAATGAGAAAAGAAGAGAGGTTAGAATTAACACCTAAATGATATATCTGTGCCAAAGGAAGTTCAAATGACACAGTGGTTCAAATAGAGAAAATGGATGGGGAAATGGCACGGCCATGCAGCAAACCTCCGTACATGCACCCCGAATCAGAGAGAGCCTGCACGAGGGCAGCCAGTACCATATTCACGCTATGTACAGTGATTCACTTTCACCAAAACAGTATCATCTGTCACATTAAACTAATATTAGTTTGACTATATTGGGTTTGTTTTCCTTTAATTGTAAACTTTCAGTTTCATGGTTGTATTAGAGATGTAAACATAAGGAGTTTATGCT